TTGAAATGTGGCTAATGCAACTGAGGAACTTAATTTTTAATATTCATTTAAATAGCCATAGATGACTAGTAGCTACCATATTAGAGAGCACAAGCTTAGACCATTATGTGCACAGGACACACTGAGTTCATATAAAATTATGCTTCTGAGTCAAAAAATAGAAACTCTATAAAAAGTAGAAACTCTAAAAACCAAAATCTGTATTATAAACTGCTGTGGCTCTTTCCTTTTGGAAAGTGCTTCTTTAGGAGACCTCAGTTAAGAATTTTGAGGTTGGTTTTGTCCTTTTGCATAGCTGTAATATCATTTGACTTCTCATGAAATCCTGTACATTTCTGCTACTTGTAGTTCAGCACTGTGGGTGAGGGCAAGGGATTAAGGAACAGTGAGAAGGAATCAGTGTGGAGCTCTGCGTCTGCAGAGATTTTAGTTCAAAAAACCTCGTTCCCTAAAGCTTTATTATCTACTTCTTACTTAAAAGGAAAACAAAAAACTCCCTTCTACTCCACAGTTACCGACCACATTGCTCTGCTAAAAAGAACGCTATAGCGAGGGTTCCATAGGTGATGGCTAGTCCCATTATCAACAGGGCAGTTGAGGATTAAATGAAATAATGTGTGCCAGGCTCAGTTCTTAGACATCCCCAAACTGCATCTGTATCCTAGAGGGAGAAGTGAGCCCAGAAACCACATGCAGCCCCTCGGAATCTTGAGAACAGACAGGCCATCCAGCTCTGTCTCTAGGTCTAGCCATCCCCGTCAATTGATCAATTTCAGACTCCTCTGTGTCCGCTTCTCCCAGGTGTGCGTTTCACTGTTAGCCCCCTGCCTCATAAGTCCCCTTGGGAATCTTGGCTCTAGTGTAAATAAATGCCCCTACAACTTCATCCTCTTTCACGGCCTTTTCTCCTCTGCTGTCTTTACATAAATTTGACTCTTTGGCTTTCAAGGACACTACTCTCTCTAGATTTCCTGATTTGTTCATGTTTTCACTAAAAAGTTATTAAGTAAGCTTTACACCCCATGAGTACATTAAAAAAGAGAAAAAAAGAAAACGGAGCAGAGGAGAAAAACTCCCCTCCCCCAAATTACGATAACTGAAGGCAGTGAAAGAGAATGGTGGTTAAGAATCCAGGGTGTGGAATCAGACAGCCTCGGTCCCAATCTTGACACCAGTGCCTGCTAGCTTTGTGACCTTGAATAGCAGTAACACTCTTCCGTGAGGTGTGAGGTTTGAATGAGGTAATCTACATATGACCGTGACCTTGGTTCCCAGTAGGTATCAAACATTTACTGAGATACCGAGTTGTGGGAGTGTTTTTACTGCCACTTCTATTATTACTACCACTACATTTCCTTCCAACTACTATTACTGTTCTGTTACTACAATTATGATCAGTATCTCTTTCTTAAGGACCTCCAATTTTTTTTATCAGGATAAATAAACAACTACAGTATATGAATATAACTGCTTTAATGGAGACATGTGCAAAGGTATTGAAAGCTTAGACAAGGAAGCATCTAAACCTAACAGGGTGAGTTAGACCAGGCACCTGTGCCAGTCTTTTTTTCTGCCTCAACTTCCGCTACCCTGACTGGTGACAATATGTATAATAGTTAAAAGGAACATGAGCTTTGGAATTGAATATATAGGTTTGAATTCCAGCTCTGCTACTTTGTTATGAAATCTCTGGCAAATCACTCAACCTCCCTGAGCCTGTTTCTTCACTTGCAAAATGGGGGTAGTACCTATCCTATCTTGCGGGATTCTTTAAAGATTATACGAGAACACTGCCTGTCTTTCAGTAAAGCTCAATAAATGTTGGGTTCTCCAGTTGAAACTCTCATACTTTGAATCTCTTTCACCAGGAAGAGTTCAGTCCCTTCAAAGAATCACCCGCTTAGCTTAAGCCCACCAAGAATAATCTCCCCTTCTTAAAGCCAGCTGTGCCATAAAACACAACCTAATTGTAGGGGTGACTATCCCATCATATTCACAGGTCGTTCCTACGTTCAAAGAGAGCAAGTTGTGCAAGGGTGTGGATCACTGGGGGTCCTCTTAGAATCCTGCCTACCATCCTGTTCCATAAACTCCTAACCTTGGATCAGTCTGTGCAGCTACCCACATCCACTGCTCTTCTGCTGAGCACTGCTGAATAAGATCATACAGAGTGAAGTAAGTCAGAAAGAGAAAAACAAATACCGTATGCTAACACATATATATGGAATCTAAAAAATAAAAAAAGATTCTGATGAATATAGGGGCGGGACAGGAATAAAGACGCAGACGTAGAGAATGGACTTGAGGACACGGGGAAGGGGAAGGGGAAGCTGGGACGAAGTGAGAGAGTGGCATGGACATATATACACTACCAAGTGTAAAATAGATAGCTAGTGGGAAGCAGCCGCATACATAGCACAGGGAGATCAGCTCGGTGCTTTGTGACCGCCTGGAGGGGTGGGATAGGGAGGGTGGGAGGGAGGGAGACGCAAGAGGGAGGAGATATGGGGATATATGTATACGTATAGCTGATTCACTTTGTTATACAGCAGAAACTAACACACCATTGTAGAGCAATCATACTCCAATAAAGATGTTAAAAAAAATTAAAACTAAAATTTTAAAAAAGATTCTATGATTTGTTGCCACACAGATATATAATCTTGAACTTCAGTAGATCTTTCAGCAATGCTTTAGCATGACCTTCCGTAACATTTTATGTGTCCCCCAAAGCTATTCTATGTCTTGTCACCAAGCCCCTGTTATAAGCTGCCCACCTCCCCACCACCCCCAAGAATCTGACCTTTTCTTCAGCTTTCCAAAGTAAGGCTGTTAGTCACAGATTTGGATGAACTTATCCAGATATACCTTCTTTCACTTTCCTTTGTCTTAGTATTAGAGGAAAAGATTTTTCTTCTGTCCAAGGCTGATTCCAGCACCTGTGTCTTTGATTGGAAGGAACATTTTTTTCTTCCAAAAACTTCTTTCATTATATACTACATTTTGAAACCTCTTCTTTTCCATTTTTTTCTGTTCTCTCTCCCTCTCATACTTTGAAAGCCTAACTTGTAGAAAGAGTGGATTAGACTATGCCCACTTTACTTCCTCACATCCCACTTCTGAACCCACCTGTGACACTATAATCCAGATTCTTCCCACACCACTTCCTGGACACTTCTCTGGAAAAGGTCACCAGTACCTAGAAATAATAGCAAAGGAAGAAAAACAAATTAGCTGTCAACTTTAGGAGAAACAAAAAGAAAAATTCAGCAGCACAAAGTATTCATGTAGTCATAATATCTGTATTCACAACGGGTTAATTAAAAATGGTGTTATAACTGGGAATAGGGGTTTGAGAGTTATAAAAGAGCTAAATTTACAATAATGGGAAGTCAATTATTAATGTCTAAAATCAATCACAAAATATCAGTATAACCATATTCTGTAGAAATACATCATTAAATACCAAAAGAAAAGGCAGAAAGAGTTGACAGTGGTTTCTCTGAACAGAGCTTAGGGGTCAGGATAGATGAAACAAACACTTTTTGTTTATTTGTTTTGTTTTAACTGTGTGTATGCATTTGATTTTCTAAAAAATATTTTTCTTTAAAGAAAAAAGGTACAATCCATAGCAGAGGGGAAATTTATCAGTCAAGTTGTCAGGGAACTGCAGTAAATAGTTAGTTGCTAGTTGGTGGTTAATCCACATGTCATTTACAAATAGCAGTAAGTGTCCATTCCCACAGCAAAAATGGAATCTGACCTGCCAAAGAGCATTACTGTCTATGAGCTTGAGAAATGTTCCGGGAAGAGCATAGACAAAATAAGAGCATATTAATATAGAGGCTGTTTATTCCCAGGTTTTAGTACCACAAAGGAGAATACATAGAAGTGTTGGAGGGAACCAGGAAATGTGCCCTTTCCACGTGAGCCCTTTGTCCTTTGTGGTATGGTGTGCTGAGCACCTTGGGCAAATAACCTAGCATCTGAGCCTCAGTCATTCCTGGAGCTGGAACATGAGAATAACCTTGTAAGGTTTTTGTGAGGATGGGAAATAATACATACATGTCATGTGTCTAAAGAGTGCTTGGCACATACCTGTACTCAATATGATGATTCATGAAAAAATAGATAGCATTAATAATAATATTAGTATCATTCCCTACGATTGTGGGCTTTTACTGGCTTATTTCCCACAATGTCTCTCTCGATTTCCTTGATGTTTACAGTTAGTTTTTAAGCAGAACACTGGCCAGATGACTGGGCACACAGCTAATGATAACTCCTGTTGAAAAGGTATCACCAGATAGACTATTAGAAGCCCAAGTTGCAGCTGGAACAGTATGGGGTGGGCCAGGCAGGGTGAGGCACAGTGCAAGAACGGAACGCTTCAACTGTGCCATGACTTATATATCTCCAGTGTTGTTGTTGAATTTGTTCTCAGCCAGGATCCAGAATCCCATGAAAGGAATGGGATCAAGGGACCTTCAGCTGATGCTTTAGAATTCACATCAAGGGCCTTGTGTGATTGTTGCTCGGGACATAGCCAGAGGATATAATATAATATAATATAATATATAATATAATATAATATTCTTGTATTTTTAATGTTTAATGTTTTTTAAAACTCCAACAATCAGAAGGTCATCATTTGTTGTAATGATGCTGTGGTCAATGATAGCGTCTGTAGATTTTATAACCAGAATTGATTCATAAAATGAATACAGTCCCAGCAGTTTATGTTAACATAATTTAATGGAAATGTAATTCTAACTGAGTTTGCTTATTAAACTGAAAATTACTGGGTTATGAGCACTCCTCCATTTCTGTCAAAATTGGTGTAAGTCTAGGATTACATGAAATATCCATTAAAATACAGCATATTTTAAGGCTCTGTTGCTGGTGGCATATACATTTCTTACAGCACATGCAGACTGATCACGTGAGAGCATGTGCTTTTAGTGAGTTTCCTGCTAACTCCTTTTCTCTTTCCTCTGCAGCCGTTGGTTTAGCCCGGGGGCTAGGACAGAGCATGGCCAGGTAAGGAACATTCTAATCCAAAAGGAAGTTACTCAGTCCTTCAAATATTGAACTATCTCCCTTCAAGGTAGTAGATCAGTTTTATGAGAAAGGATAAAGTTCCAGGTTATTTTAAAAGGAGTTCATTGTGCCGGTGCTGATACGTCACTAGTTTGTAGGACTTAACCATTCACATATGTTTTTCGCAAAGTTAAGGTACCAAAATAGTGCATACGCTTGAAAAAATTGCTTTGTATTAAACATGATCAGCCAGCAAGAGAATATTTTTATTTTTGAAGTTTAGAAGGTGATAATGGTTTCTTACAAGTTTATGTTATATTTCTAGGTGAGTTTTTTAAAAATTTTTTATTAGTTTCATGGCAGCACAATGATGAGTTGACTTAGCAAGAACTTGACATTCATTTTGGTTAATTTTACATATAAAATAAGTAGTCTATCTTCTTTGTCTGTTGAATGTGTTAGTTCTCTCTCTGCAGTGTGATAAGGTAATTTAGGGCTTAAAATTTTCATAAGATTTAAAGCATATATGTTTTCGGCTTTGCATCCTTGTTAAGCCTTTTTTTTTTCATTGTGGATTGTAAGAGTTATTTTTTAAGTGGGTCAATAGTACGATATGTAAATCGTACTTTAAATATATGCGAATGAAAAGCCAAAAATCCACAGGGATCATTTCTTCTGAGGGGTAGGTAGGTAGGTAGGTAGGTAGGTCGGTAAAGAGGAGATTGTGCTTAGTAATGGTAATGGGTAACATTATTTTATGTATTGGTGATGTCTTATTTCTTAAGCTGGGCAGCAGGTCCAGAGTTGGTTGCACATACCATAGTTCCCTTTTCTTATAACAGGAAAGTGCCAAATACTTCATGATAAGCTATACTATATTTCTTAACACACATGAATCTAATTAAAGAAAAATATGTGAATTCAGTTTAATGATTTTTTTGTAAACTTGGCCTTTTTCCATGAGAGCAATTTGCACCTTTAAATATATTTCTCACATTAATAATAGAATATATACCGTTATTTCTAAAGTTTTGGAAATTAACTAGGCTACATTGCATCCGCAGTGTGTTTGTTCAGAATGTAAAACTTAGACTTTCTGCTTTCCCAAATGGTTCATACCCTCTATGTAAAATGATTGCAGTAAGATTCTGCTCCTAGTAGTAAGTCGCATCAGGATATAGTTTATCCCCAAATTCGATTTTGTAAAGATCATTTTCCACCTTCTAGAATTTGAGAAATGCTAAAGTAATGTTATAAATCTGTGCTTTAGATTATAGTGTAACTGGTTGCTCCCAGCCAAACTTCTTTTCTGTAATTAAAAATTAACAAATAGCTAAGAACATATAGAGAAGAAAGTTGACCAATCGTTTTTTTTTTTTAATTTTTAAATATTTTAGACAAATTTTGAATCACCCTTTGGCTTAAACTCTGATATACCATTTCAGATTTTTATCTTGACTAGATAGGTTATTAGTTAATGATTCTTGTTATTTGTAATAGCTATGTTCTATGAGGTTGATCAGAATACTAACGTAGCAAATACTGAAAAATTGCTCCCAGGAAAAATACAAGGTTAGGTTCCTGAGAATCTCTGGTCACAACATTTTCATTAACTAATCAATACATATCCTTATTCGATGTGTGTTTCTGTTTAAAGACACCTTATTTAATACATATTATTGATTCATTAACACTGAACTCATGGCCAGCAGCACTATAACTTATTCCTGAAGGGAGCTTGTCTAATGCGCATATTTCCTCTATAAAGCCCATCACAACCTTCGTGCACTGGGGAACACTAGACAGCAGTTCAGCACGATACTAGGAGGCTATTTTAAACAATGAAGATAAAAACAAGAAAAAAATGCAAAAAAACATAGCACTGAACGGACCTCGAAAAAGACACTTGTTTACAGTATGAAAGCTGAAACAAGAAGACAGACATCACCTTGTCAGACCTCAGCTGAGAACATGCGCTACAGGGGACTCAAATTTCTGTCACTCTGTGCATGTCTGCCAATGACTGCTAAAGCACCAGAAGTATTGATTTTGGTGTTACAAATAAATTTTAGCAAATAGGTGAATTTGCAAGTACAGAATCCAATGAATAATGAGTAACAGTTGCACATATACGTGTGTATACAAATACACATGCAAACTACTCATGTTTTGAGGGATAAAAATTTCTTATTCAACTTAGACCTAACTTTAGCACGGTAAACTATTGGCTCAACCTAGGTCCAAGTGATAAAATGCAAGACCATGAAAAAGTATAAAATCCTTCAACATATTGTTGAATGAATGACTATTAGCATGCATGAACACCTTTTATTTTTCCCATACCAACTTACCAACATAAAGAAATGATAATATTAACCCCACTTTTGAAATCCCACCCCTCACTGCTTTCCCCACCTTATGATTCCCCTTTCTGTTCTTTAGTGCAAAGTCCCATTTCCATTTACATCATGCATACTCAGCGTTTCTTTATCACACATTCAGTAAATCACTGTTGTCCATCAGCCGTTATCTCTCAGGTACTCTTTATTTTTACAAAAAGAGGTATTTATATAGACAACATAGCTTTTCCTCTGAGGTGGGTAAAATCTGGGGCAGGAAAGCAGTGACTACAGGATGTTGGTAAATGTTTGAGAAAACCACAGAGAGGGCACCACAGAGGCCACAAAAGAGAAAAGTGAAAGGTGGCTCAGTAGTAGAAGTAAGGAGACAGAAAGCAGCTGCAGGAAGCCTCATTTTGTGTGTGTGTCTTTTTCAATTCTGAGGATTTTCCTCCTTGAATATCTAATAATGTGATTTTTTTACTGAGTTCACTAGTATCTTAAGGAGCCATAGGTCACTGTTTAGAGATTACTTAGTTCTCCTTTTAAGGTGAGGACCCTGTGAAAGGCCAAGTGTGGAGAGACTTGAAATTCTTTTGTAGACATTTGAAGAGTTACCTGAAAAGTGGCTGCTAATCAGAAACAGTCTTGAGCTTGAATGCCTTCTGAATATCAGGTGGTAAAGAAAGGATTGCCGTGGAATAAGAATTCTGCTCTTTGCTTTTTCCTCTTGTGCTAGGAACGTGACACGCACAAAATAATCTTTTTAAAATATCATGAATAGCCACAGAAATTCTCAGCTCCCTGTCTGTCACAGGAGCAACCATGATCCACTTGGAACATTTCTCTTCCTGGTTTCATTCAGCAGATTTTAAAATTGCGTACCTTTTGTAAACCTCACGTTGTACTAGGTTTTGTGTTTATGAATGTTCATGTCATTCTTATGTGAGTCATTTTTTAATATACATCTGCAGGTCACTCACTAATAAGGGAATTGTCTCTCCGTTTGGCCTAAGTCCAGCAATCTGAGAGTCAGAAGGTAAGAAGCACTTCGCACCATATTCAGAAGTTCTGTTATTAATCGGAGTTGATGGTGTTGAGTCAGAGCCCTGAAAACTGACCTCACTTGTGACACTGATAGGAGTCCAAGGAAACAGGAAAAGTTAGCAGTAAGAGAAGTGAAGAATCTTTCAAAACCTGATGAGCTACTCTTGCTTATCAGAGCAGAGCTCCAGGGCTCTTGTGTCTTTTATCATGAATTCCTGACCTGATGCCCCTCCTACCCCCTGCCACCCTTTTTCTTTGTTCGTTGGGGCAGAGCAGACACGTGTTGGGAATCTTTCAAATACAAATGTATGTTTTCTATTCAAATAACACTCTGGATTAATTTTTTCATCTTCGCCCCTTAAAAGATCTAGGTTCCCATTATAACCTGTTAATTTCATGACCCAGAGATCTGAGTCTGTATTTTTCTCTCTGAGCTCGATTTTAAATTTGCAAAGATACACCCAGACTTATAATTTTATTGATAAAATGAGATAATTTTGTGATGACTTTTTAATATAGATGCATTATATTAAATAATTCCAACATTTGTCTCTTTTTATATACAAAGCCCATCAAAACTATAAATTTGAGGAAGACAAGAAATTCTCATGTGAATCTAATAGAAGGAGCTCTAACCTTAGAGTTCACAGAAGTTGCTATCTCATTTTAGTTCATCCAGATGGTGCCCTCCCTGAGAACTAACCAGACCTAGTAGGTATAGCCTAATATTTATTTTGGTTATTATAGTTGCATTTTTAAAAAACTAAACTGTAGAATTCTTTTCTTATTTAAGAACATATGTTTGGGATTTTTTGAGTTCTTTGTTTAAACTGTTTTAACATAAATATCAGGAATAGTGTTCACGTATCCGTCTTATCTAACAATTAGAAAAGTTAGTTAACTACTACTATTAATTGAAGGTGGAGGTAGAGATTTTATCATGTCACCTCTAGCTATCTGTGTCACAAATGTTGGTTTGTATATGTTTTTTTACAAAGGCACTAGAATTAGAAATGCCAAAGTAATTAATTTTTTTTTTCAGAAGCAAATTAGCTTTCATGGTACGAAGTGTTTCTACAATGAAACACTTTCAGATTAATGGACTTAAAGATAAGTCGTTGCTATTTTCTATAAGTAGTAATAATTAGGTATGGCTTCATCTACATATCAGATACTATATCTCATTCCCTATTTCTTTATCTCATTCATTCATTCACTCATTCATTCAACAAATATTTATTGAACACTAAAAATGTTCCAGGCTCTGTGCTGGACCTTGGAGATGCAGGCAGATTGAATAACTAAAACAAAGGGCCAAAGGTGAGCAAGAATATGGTACATGCTCCAAACTGAAAAGTTCAGAATGGCGGGGATTTATCATTTAGAAATAAGGAGCTTAGGGCTTCCCTGGTGGCGCAGTGGTTGAGAGTCCGCCTCCCGATGCAGGGGACACGGGTTCGTGCCCCGGTCCGGGAAGATCCCACATGCCGCGGAGAGGCTAGGCCCATGAGCCATGGCCGCTGAGGCTGCGCGTCCGGAGCCTGTGCTCCGCAACGGGAGAGGCCACAACAGTGAGAGAGGCCCGCGTACCACAAAAAAAAAAAAAAGAAAGAAAGAAAGAAAGAAAGAAGGAGCTTAGGTTGGGGGGTAGGAGGAAGTATAATAAATTATGAGTTTAGAAATATAATCAAATTATGAAGGGCCATGAGAGCCTTGTACAAGATTTGGGGGTTTATCTGAAGAGAATAATGTAATCAGATCTAGTTTTAGAATTATTGGCTGCAGTGTGGAGAATGGATTAAATGGGAGTGAGGCTGGAGGCAGGGAGGCATTTGGAGAGGCTGTTGTAGGTGAGGGAAAATGATGGCCTGGACTGGGATGTTGGTAGTGGGGATGGAAAGAAGCAGATATTTAAGAGAAATATAAAGTAGTCTTATTTAGTTAAGGCATCCCTGAAATAATGATCTAACAATGTTCTTTGTGATCTAATTAAGTTATTTTCCTTCTCAAGGATGGCCAAATGTGGCTAGTAATTGACTCTAAATGATGTCATTGCATAGTTCAAAGCAGTTATTTCATTAGAAGTTACTGATATTGGTCAGACAATAACCACTGACAACCAGGCTCATTAATTATAATTGTAGCATTTGAACCATTTACTCGGCACTTTTTATACTCTGGTCATAGTGCTAAGCGTTTGACATGATTTATCTTATTTAACACTCACAGCACGCTTACAGGTAGATATTATTGTTATCTCAATTTTCCAGGTGGAAACTGAGACTTAGAGACGTTACACAGCTTATAAATGGTAGACCTGTTTTTTAAAACCTAGTGACTTGTTAGTTACCGGTACAGCTGGGATTCGAACCCAGATCTTTCCTGCACTATTACTTCTAAGATTTCTGTTTTTATTAAGGTTAATTTCTAATATGCTGTACAACTTCTTATTAGCCCATTCTTGCATATAATCACATTTCTGCATAAATAAGATAAGCTACAGTTTGAGAGTACACACAGCAAAAAGTATTGACTACTTGGGTTTTTTTCTTTCCAATTAGTTAGGGTAAAGCAAGTGTGAAGGGAAATGTATGGTGAGGCATTTTGAGGAGGCAGTCAAATCTGTATTTTTTTTTCTAATTATATATTTCCAAGCCAATAATTTCTTTGAAAAAGAATGTTTTAAATGTTTCTTTACCATGTTAGGCCAGTAAATACAGAGAAAGTAAGATTAGATCTTTTATGTCATCGTAGGTGACAAAGCCTCAAAAAATTCGTAGCTGAATGCACTGGTAGAAGCATTGGTAAAAGAGGTTCCATTACTTTAACCGGGACCACTCCAGAGCACCAGAATTACAAGTGAGTCCTAGAGCTCCAGCTCTAGGCTGTATATTAAGTGACTATAAGAGCAGTGTAAGCTGTCAGGCAAGCACTGGCAACTCTTAGCAACATTTTTATAAGTGTGTCAGTGGCATCTCTAGCAAAAGTAGTTGTCTTCGTTTTAAGAAAAACCAGTAAAAAAACAAAAAGAAAAAAAAGTAATGCAAGTGAACAAATAGTGTCCCTCTGAATGAGAAGAATACTTTTCTACTTACAAAAGAATATAATGGAAATATTTTTGTTTCTACAACTTTGTTTTAACACTTTGGACAGCATCAGCTTCTGAGAGATAACCGAGCTGAAAGAGGACACAAGAAAAACTGTTCTGTGAAAACAGCCAGCAGGTAAGCAATTTAAAATCACTTTTTACTCTGATCATTAAATCATGTGATTTTTTTTTTTTTCCATACCAATATGAATATGGTGAGTTATAGCTGGGATGCCTTTAGCTCTAAAGTGCCAGCTTAAAATATTTTATGTATTGTTTATTAGAATCTATTTCAGGATTACTAGCAATGAATAGCAAGATACCATTCTATTTGTATTTTTTTAAGCTGATGAAAAATAAAGAGGACCTTTTCTTTTTAACATCTTTATTGGAGTATAATTGCTTTACAATGGTGTGTTAGTTTCTGCTGTATAACAAAGTGAATCAGCTATACGTATACATACATCCCCATATCCCCTCCCTCTTGTGTCTCCCTCCCACCCTCCCTATCCCACCCCTCTAAGTGGACACAAAGCACCGAGCTGATCTCCCTGTGCTATGCGGCTGCTTCCCACTAGCTCTCTCTTTTACATTTGCTAGTGTATATATGTCCATGCCACTCTCTCACTTCGTCCCAGCTTACCCTTCCCCCTCCCTCTGTCCTCAAGTCCATTCTCTATATGAGTGCATTTTTAGAAGAAAAGAAAATCTCTGCCACCCATAACTAATGAATTTTAGATCAAGATTTAGAATAATAAGTTTATTTTTTAATTTTAAAAAAAGAGAATTAATCTTTTCCCCAAAACTTAAATGGTACTTAGGCTTTATGAGAGAGCAACATGTATATTTATCTCTAATAATATATAAATAAGTATATAGAAAATATACTCTTTTTTAAAAGTGCTTCTATGTTCTTACTCATTTTATATTGCTGAGTCGATGTTATATTTTTTCTTTAATAAAAAAAATTTGCCCCAGTTTATTGTTTTAGACAGCGTATTTCCAAATTTTGCATGTGGTGTTTCTGAAGACCTCATTTTTACTTAGGTGAAAATGGCTACCAGAATATTGATCAGAACTACTGCCCTGTGATTTACACTTGCTCAATTTTTAACAAGATAACCGACCTCGGCAGCTACCTTTGCATCTCCTGGCCTCCCGTAGTTAGTGTGCTAGCCACTGTGTTTAACACTCCCAAGCAAGCAATGTAGCTTCCAAGTACCATGTTGTACAGACTAACCCCAACTGAGAACCCACTAGGTATCTGCAGAAGCTAACATAAATCCTATCTAGCATGTCTAATTTAGACAGTCAAAAATTGTCAAACATAATAAGTTGACCGTCAGTGATAGTCAACATAAAACTAATACAGTTACCCCTAAGGATGTCAGATCCTGAAATTATAAAGTATGGATTATATAAATTTTATACACGTTATAAATAATTACAAATGGCACGTTTATAGAAATAAGATAAGCAGGCAGCAGATCGCTATTAGAATTGTTCAAGCAGAATTGAATCAAAAGCATATAATTGTTAAAAATGAGAAGTGTGATTGTGAAATGGAGGTACAGCTGAAGAAGTAGGCCAGAATACAGCATAAAAATACAAGGAGATGGAAAAATGAAAGAGTGGTTAAGAGACCCAGGAAAGATCTAAGATATGTTTAAGCTTAGCGGCTTTGATGGAGGGTATAGAAAGGCTGAAAAAAACATGATGCTGAAGAGATGTTGGCTAAGGATTCCCTAAATGGGTGAAAGTTATAAATCTATAGATACAGGTACAGAAAGCACAGTGAATACCAACTAGAATAAATAGAAAGAAATCCATACCTAGTAGTACACGGTAGTACACCAAAAACAAAGAGAAGATCTTAAAAGAATCCAGAGATAAAGGATGAATTACTACAAAGGAATGACAGCTGTACATCATCAGATTTCTGAGTACTGACAGTGAAACCAGAAAACAGTGGACAAGTCTTCAGAGTACTGGGTGAAAATGCATTGTCAGCATAGAACTATGTGCCTAGAAAAACATCTTTCATATATGAAGATGAAGTAAAGACAGTTTAAGATTTTCAAAAACTAAGAAAGTTTACTACCAACAGACCTTTGCTAGAAGACTTTCTAAGGATGTATTTCAAGAAAAGGATCTCCCCAGGAAAGTCTAAGATGAAAAAATGAATACTAAGCCAGTAAGCTGTTAAAGATTTCAGTAAGTTTAAACAACCATTGTTTATATAAGTTGATAGTTATAATATGTAATTCATAGGACTTTTCAAAAGACAATCTAAGATAGTGGAAAATAACAGCATGTTAAATTTGACAGTGTTGATGATTACAGTTGAAGTCCAATCTAAGGTCCTTGAATTGTTTGGGGTGTTTAATTCATTGCTCAGTTAAGAGATTGATACTTGATAAGACTGTATTAAGTATTCATGGTAAAATATCAAAAATAACTACTAAGTCAAAAGAAATAGAGTATGTAAATTCCAAGCCAGTTGGCGGGCGTGGGGTTGAATGGAATAAATTGCCTCAAAAAATCCATTTAAAAAGTCAATAAAGGGGGGAAAAAGGCATAGACAAAATGGAACACAGAAAAAAAAAAGTTAGATAATTGAGTCAAGTCCATGTATCAGTAATTACAATAAATATTTATGGATTAAATTTGTCAGTTCAAAGCAAAACTAAGCAGATTTAGTTTTTCTTTTAAAATCCAACTATATGTTCTTTATAAGAGACATACCTGAAATAATGACAAAGAAAGGTGGAAAACTAAAGGATGGAACAGCATATACCAGATATACTATAAAAGGGACTCTCATACCAGACAAACTGACTTAAGAACAAAAGCCTTAACAAGCTTAAGAAACACATAATTTAATGATAAAAGATTCAACTTACCAAAAAGTTAATAATTTTATTATTGTGTACATTCATTAAAATAGACTCAGAAAAATATATAAAGCAAATATTAATAGCAGTGAATGGAGAAACTCACTAACCCACTATCATGGTGCTCCCACTTCAATACAGCATTCATATTATTGATAGTTTAAGCCATCCTAAAACTTGCATAACAGAAAATTAACAAACTTAATATTATATAAACCTTTTCACCCAAACTATTAACAAAAACACATTCTTCTCAAAGACACACATGTAATATTTACAAAAGTTGATGACTTACCAGGCCAAAGCTACTATCAACAAATTTTAATGAATATGTATCATAAAGATCATATCCTTTAATTTGAATGTGATTAAGAGAAATCACTGACAAAAGTGATTTTTTTAAAGTTTGGAGTTAAAAATACATTTTGAAATAACTCGTGTCCAAAAAATCATAGTGATAATATCTAAACTTGTGGGTTGCAGTTAGATGGTAATTAAGAAAACTTTACTACTTGAAAGTTGTATATTAGAAATTTGGTCTCAGTTGCTGTTGCAGTCAAGATTCTGAACTATAAGATTACTGATTCTAAACTATAAGGAGACGGCTTCTCTCCTCCAGGATCAACCCAGGAGGAATTTAGAAAGAGAAAATATGCAGAAAACTACAAGAAGTCCCCAGTATTAAGGGAAGGGGTGTGCTATTTTGAACTTGTGCTTGTGAGATGGGGGCACACAGGTGTGCTTGTGTGCTCTGACCTGAAGCAAGAGGCAATTCAGCCTGGGTAAGGGAGAATGAGATGTGAGGAGAACCTTTGGAGTTCTTTTCTATACTAGCTTGTCATTGGCCATGGCCTTGGGACAAATGACATCTGCCCCTTACAGAAAAACTCAGATCTCTGGTCCAAGTGTTTTTAAGGATAAAGTCAGGGCAGCTCACAGTGCTGTATTTGTGAGGAGCTGGGAAAGCTTGATGGGACTGGATGACAAATTATCTGGTCTTCACTCTGCCCCTTACAAACCACAGAGCTGGAGGATTACAGTTCTCATTTTCCTGAGAGTGAGGAAAGGGAGAGTTTTTCTGGCAGAGGAGTTATTTTATAGAGAGGGGTGTGATGATTGTGGTTTTCTGCTGCCCAGGCCTCTATACTCCTAAGTCAGGTTCATTCACCTCCAATTGCTGAACTGCTTTCGGCGGACAGAGAAGACTGGCCTTTCCCCATAGCATTGCCTGGTAGAATCAGATAATAAGACATTTGAGGAGAACAGCCTTTTCAAAAATATATATATATATATATCAATATATATAGGACTTCCATGGTGGTGTAGTGGTTAAGAATCCACCTACCAACACAGGCGACACGGGTTCAATCCCTGGTCTGGGAAGATCCCACATGCCGCAGAGCAACTACGCATGTGCCACAACTACTGAAGCCCACACGCCTAGAGCCCGTGCTCCACAAGAGAAGCCACCACAGTGAGAAGCCCGTGCACCGCAACGAAGAGTAGCCCCTGCTCGCCGCAACTAGAGAAAGCCTGTGTGCAGCAACGAAGACCCAACACGGCCATAAATAAATAAATAAATAATTTACTTTAAAATATACATATATATATTGGATTACAGACTCCAACAGAGGCAGAAATGTTAGAACAAACAAGTCAAAAGAATTTGATTAGCATAATAAGTATTAACTAAAAGAAGTACAGGAAGATAACAATATAAAGCAGGAAATAACAATACAACACATAATTAAGAACCAAATATTTAAGTCTTTTTCAATTTTTCTCAGCGGTGTTTTTTTCATTGTATAGGTCTTACGCATATTTTATCAGATTTATCCCTAAGCATTTCACCATATTTTTTGGTGTATGAAAATGTTGCTGAGAGAAATTAAAGATCTGTGTAACTGGAGAGATATAGCTTGTTCATGGATCAGGAGACTCAATATTCTTAAGATGTCAGTTCTCCCAAAATTTAGCTCCAGATTCAGTACAATCCAAACAAAAATCCCATGAGACTATTTTGTAGAAATTGACAAACAAATGCTAAAATTCATATGAAAATGCAAAGGACTTAAATAGCCAAACTTTAACACTACCTGATTTCAGGACTTAATTTCAAAGCTGTAGTAATCAAGAAAGTGTGGTATTGGTGCAAAGATAGAAAAATAGATGAAAGAAATATACCCACATATATACAGAGAATTGACTTTTGACAAAGTACAAAGGTACCTCAGTGGAAAAA